CCTGTGCATCCGGAGCCTGTGCTCCACAGCAGGAGAGGCCACAGCAGTGAGAGGCCCGTGTACCGCAAAAAAAAAAAAAAAAAAAAAGTGCTTTGTATTTAATTTTAGACCAGTCCTAGGTCCTGGACCCCTCAAAGAGGGCTCTGACACTTAACTAATTACGAGTAATAATGAAAGTAATAGTGATCACTCTCTCCCAGAATTCAGAAGCACTTTTCACTTATTTGACACCTCCTTAAGCTTCAGGTAGATAGACCACATCGGGGCTGGGAAAGAAGCAGGAAGAGTTTTAGCCTGCAATTCAGACACCCAAAGGAAGACTGCGGCAAGCAAGGGGTCCCCATCAGCTTTGTAGGTAATGATGTGGCTCTTTAATAGGTGATACTGACCACCCATACCCTCCGCTAGCATGTTCTTGCCAAGTTTAGTTATTCCTTGACAACTGATGGAAGACATGTTCTGTCAACATATTTCAAACGGCTTCATCAGGGGTGTAGGGGAAGGGGTAGATAAATGCTGGGGGATGGGTACATCAAGTTCCTTGTGCTTTTCTTTCTGGTTTTGTATATGTTTGGAAAATTTCATAATAAAATGTTTTAAACATCAATCTTTTTATCATTATTTAATATTTTTCCCAATCCTCCCACCAAATATTTCTCTGTGCTAATGGGACAAAATCCCAGTCATCTCTTACTGGTAGCTGCTCTGGCAACACGTATAAAAATGTATTGTTCAGTGGAGTTTTAAAAAAAAAGACAAACTTTGAAGTATGAGAAGAAAAACTCAGATATCTACCTTGAATTCACACTATTTCATTTCAATAAACAATTTCCAAATTAGACCTGTTGGGACCAGGAAGATGAGTGCCAAATAGATATTACCATCTTCATCATCACTGGGCAATGGTATAGACACTTCAGAAAGAACTCACCTCTTGACTGAGAAAGCGTGACTTTGGTAATGCGGAAGGTGGGACAAAGCGTGCTGCCCAGCCTTCTCCACATTCCCCCCCACCCCGCCCCGACAAATACTCCCAAAGAGGAGCCTCGATCAATAGACAGCAAATTAAGCCACTTAGCCTGGAAGCAGTGGTCTTGATAGAACCAGACTCTTGGAAAGATTCTTGGAAATTTCCAATCCAGGATCCTCCCATCTACACTGATTGGAAGACTGCAGCATAACCCAAAGGATTTCATCTGCCCAAGGAAGGGCTTATTTCCAAACGGTTTCTTGAACCCACATGAGAAGATCTGAGCAGGTGCAAAGGGAGGGAGGCAGACTCCAGCATCAGATGGCTTCCTAGTTTTACAGGACTTCACTACAGGCACTAGAGTGCAGTGACTACAGAGTCAGAAGACATGGGACCTAATGCCTCAGTTTCCATGTCTATTAAATGGTGATAATATAGACTATTATGGGGATTAAATAAGACAATGCATAGGAAGTGCTTAACACGGTAGCTAACACATTGGAAGTTCCCAATAAATGGTTATGCTTTTTGTAAATTGATTGCTTACCACATCTTTATATGCCAGTTACATCTTGGCATAATCCAGACAGAGCCACTCACAATACAATCCAAACCCTTTGTGCAGGGGAAAAATGTTTTTCCAAACATGACTATAAACTCATTTTATTATGCTTTTGAAATAAGAAAATATTATCATAAATATCCAATCTATTAGTGAAATCACAATCTGAACAAAAGGCCAAATGGTACAGTGTACCGAAAGAAGTTAGACATTTCGTTTGCTTTTCTACTCAGTCAATTTCAAAGTAGAACTTGTAGTGATATAAAGAAATATTTAAGATGTAAAATCATCCCACCACAATTTTGTTCTTGATTCCACAAAACAAACACATCATTCCCATGAATTGCTCCATTTTTGAAATAAACAGTATAGACAAATGGAACATAACAGTAAAATTTTGTGTCCATGACAATGGTAACCTCTAAGATCTACATTTTCCTTACTGATTTCCTAAAAATGCCACTCCAAAAAGAAAAGTAAAATACAAATGTATGCATGTGTAAAGGCAGAATATCACAAATATTTTATACAAATTTTTAAAAGCTCTGATCTCTATGCTCATTTTTCATGAGTACTTATAATACTTTAGAGAAATTACATCACAGAACCAGATAAACAAAATTTTACTGTGATCATCACTAGCAAAAAATATGTATAAGAATATTTATAACTCTTTAAATTTCAAAAAATCTTTAGGCTTGAAGATTCAAGAAATGACATTTAGTGTAAAGTGCTATTCCAAACACATAAAACTTCATTTTACCTTTGACTGTTTACAGATATTTTCCAAATATTGTTTTAAAATTGCAAATGACAAAGGAAGTGGTTTCACAACTAAATTCTCAAACTAAGTATAAAGATAACAGGAAACATTCCTGTTTTCTCTTTGGAAAACACCTATGAGATATTAGTTTTCTGCCATCAAATCAAGTCAGCATTTCATTCGGAAAGCAGTGTATTAATATTAATTATATATATATATATTTATAACCCAGTTATAGGCAAAGACTCTTGCTGAATGTGCTTAGTCAACCCTGGATCTTCCTCATGGCTGTGTTTTTTCTCTCAGCACCCCTGGCAAGGCATTCGTGAGATCTGTTGGGGGACAGTGGATTGAATGGCCTTCAGGGTCAAAATATTTCCCTGAGGTTCAGATTTTAAATTTTTGAATAATTAAAATCCCCTTTCAATTGTATAACTTGCCCCTGTGTTACAAGTGCAACATGATTTGGGATTCAGGATTATAATTCAAGAGGACTTAAAATGGTTGGAGACAGGCTGGGGGATCTGGCCTTTCTCTTCTCTCCCTATGCCCTCCCTCTTCAATCTGAAGACTTTATCCCACACCACAGGAAAGTAGGGTACTTGGGAATGAGCAAGCTATAATCCAATGAGTTAAGGCATGTGATTATAAACTGTAAAACAACACACCACTAGCCTTCTGAACTTTGTCCTCCCCTCTCCTCTGACCAAAGCTACAATCTGTGGGAGGGCTGTGATGCTGAGGTTAACCCCTGAAGTCTTCTCATTGAGCTGAAAAGGTCCACTAATGATCATCTATAAAGAGATGAAGGGCAGTGGACATTGGAACAAAAATTACCACAGGGAGAAAGGAATCTCGGCTTCAGAGTATCTCTAGAATAATATTTTTCAGGCAAAACTCCCAAGTCCTGTTCTGGGTAATGAACCTAAACATCTGATCTGAAAAGAAAACTTTCACCAGAGACCTGCTGATTCAAGAATTCAATTCCTGCCCAGTTGGAATGCTGCCAACGTTTTTCCATTCCTAACAGGAATTGTCTACAGCTTAAATAAATGCTTTATTTCTAAAGGGAAGCATTAGTGTTAACATTTCTGGTAAGATTTAGAAATCGCCCATGTGTCTTGGTGTGTTCTAGTCAATTTAGAGTAAGTGTTATATGTGATAGCAACAGAGGTGAGGTCTGGTTGGAGGTTAAGTGCCTCGTCTTAGGAAAAGAGCTTTCAGTGGTGGTGGAAGGTGAGGATACCAAACCTTCCTAGCGGAGTTGCTCATTAGCATTTGAAACAGGTTGTTGAAGAGCACTTCAGGTTCTTCAAAAGGCAATGATTAATACAGGACCCCCTTCTCTGAACAGCGTAAAGAAACCTACATGTCAATGTTTCTGTTTACCTTCTAACTGAGGAGGGAAGATGGAGGGGCAGAGAATCTGAAACAAAGCTGCGCCCAGTGTCATCTGCTTTGGTCGTGCCTTGAAATTACCTCTATTTACAGCGAATTATATCAGCTATGTCCTAACATTCTCCATAGTGTGATGCTCATTGCCCAAAAGATGCGAGTTCAATTGTGAGTACAAATCCCAAATGGGGAAACTCTGAGCCAGTCCAGCTTGCTTTGTTATTTGCTATTTTTCCATTACAAACATATTAATAAAACGATAAATTTCCTTAGAAGGCAATTCTGCCAAAATAAAATCCTTCAGAAACATGTACAATACAGTGGTCCCACCTCTTTCAGCCCTGAAGATTCAGGCTCAAGGCCATTGATCATGTGGGGTTGGAACCAAGCATTGCTATAGCCACAGACTCCCCATCTTTCTGATCTAATTCTCTTGCTACAGAATAAGCCACCGATCCATTGGTCCATAGCTGCAGCTTGGGATCTGATTCTTTGGCAAGGAACTGCAGCTGGGTTTTTCTCATCTTCTTTACAAGTCTAGCAAAGCCAAGCAACACAGAACTAAATATCATTGAAAATCCACAGAGAAGAAATGCTGCAGTGTAGCTGCCAGTCATGTCTACAAGCCATCCTGTAACAAGCAACAGCAAAATGATACAGAGTTGAAAATTCAATTATTTACCCATTCTCAAATCTAATAATTTGTGAGGATAATAACAATAGATTGCTAGCACCGCTGCTATAATTTTGACACAAAAAGCAGATGTCCTAAAAGTATTGTGCAGCAACTGAAAAATGCATTGTTTTCTAGGGAAACTTCTAAAATGGATTGTTGTTATTATCTAAAGTGCTTGGAAGTGTCACACTCTTAGTATTCACACAGTAAATATTAGTTATTATTATTAATCCCATGAAATATGGTAGAAAAGATAAAAATAGCATCATTCAAATTACTGATGATGCGTTTCTTTCTTTATCTAGGGTGTTAAGAGAATGTAATTGTACAAAATGCTAGTAGTAGTATTCCCAGCAGCCATATACTGACTATCCTGAGTAATGGAACATGCTTCTAGGTAAAGCAGAATCCAAATTTTCTGTTGGATCCAGTCATCGTACCCCATCCAGTTTGAAAATCAGAACGTTGGACCACCTTACAGTTTAAAATGCAAACTTCAGAAAGCAGAATTCTGTAATCACAGCTTTTTTTCTTTATCTCTTATTGCAACAAATTAACCACAACATCTATTCCGGCTCTAAATTTGGGGGAGAACCAGAGTATATGATATGCAAAATATAGGTCACAATAATCAGAGACTCAGTGGGGTAAAATTAGACCTTGGCAGGAAATTATTTTGTGATTAAAAAGGTTTTTAAAATTTTTATTTTATATTGGAGTATGGTTGATTAACAATGTTGTGTTAATTTCAGGTGTACAGCAAAGTGATTCAGTCATACATATACATGTATCTATTCTTTTTCAAATTCTAAAAAGGATTTAAAAATTCCTCCAAACTTTACTTATATGCCAAGAAAATCCACCAGAGAAGTGTATGATTTCTCCTCTCACCTACTTCAAAACCATTAGTCAAAAAAAGGCATGCAGAAATTGTTAGAAGCCCAAAGTTTCCTGCAATCCAAACTACTCTCAAATATTTTAGTTATCATGTGATTTGCTTGTACATTTTTGTAGCAGAAAACGGAAGAGATTGAGGAGAGAGTTATCTTAAAAGTAATTAAATAAGAGAAGTATTAAATAGGAACTCACATACTAATCCTCTAGTACCTGGCAATGAGTATAATGTCTGATTTGCCAAATGAAGGCCATGGTTTGAAAAAAGGATCCAGGAATCCCAATTTATGTCCTATGACTTTTTAACAGAGTTACACTGTCCCTAAAGGTTGGTAAATACAAAAAAGTGGCTGTGGAGGGAGGATGTGGGAACATTTTGGGGGCATTTTCCAAAAATGAAGCACCAAACATGTAGTCCTTTATCATGGAGTTTAAACTGACGAGGAATTTTCATCAGCAGCTATCAAGCAGTCAGTTTCCCTTGGTTTGACGCGTTAGCAACTGCTGGAGTTTAGAAATAACCCGAACTGTGTATTCATAATAGCAGCTAAAGCAGAAATCCTGCCTTCTTCAAAAAATTCCCTCCCTTCCTTCTAAGCAAATGTTTGACTCATTTCTCTTCTGCCTTATCTTCAGGGAACTTCGTCACTCTCGTTTTTAATTGAGGCAGGTAATAATCTGAACCAATTATTCTCAATCTTTAGTGTACAGGAGCATCACAAGAAAACTGGCTGAGAGTGTAGATTCCTGGAACTCACCCCCAAAGGTCCAGATCACAGAGGGAGGGTCAAGGAGTCTACATTCTGACAAGGGCCCCAGGGGATTCTGATGCAGGTGGTCCCAAGACCTCATTCTGTGAGACACTGGTCTAGACCACACACCCCAGCAAGAAGACGTGGGTTCTGACCTGTTTGCTGCTATACCTACAGCCCCAAACACAGTGCTGGTGTACACAGGCAATAAAGATTTGTTGAATTACTTGTTTAATGCACGCCAATAAATATTTGTTGAATTATTTAATGCATACAATGAATATTTGTTGAATTACTTATTTAATTATGTTTTTAATTTTTATATCATTTTACAGTTTACAAAACATTCTAGATACTTTATCTTGAATCCCAAATCTGTATATCCAAATCTGGCCTCCCTCAAATTCTCAGATTTCATCCTTAAACAGTGCTATTGAGCATTTTATTGGGTATTTCAGATATCTGAATATGTCTAAACATTAAATTTTTAGTATTTTTCTGGCAAAGCTACTCTCTCCAGCTTCCTTATTTCTTTCAACCATGCCATTATCTCCTAAGTTATCTTGGACTTCTTTCCCTCCTTCATCCCCACATGCTAAATCCAGCTGATTTTTTTCCCCAAAATTTCCCCCTCACCCCAGAGCTCATTCTCATTTCTGCCGCAGCAGCCCTAGTTCAGGCCTTTATCAGATGGCTCTTGAACTATTAGGATGAAATCCTGTTTCTCCCCTAAGTTACCAGATCAATTGCTAGATCACGTTTTCTAAAATATACTCTTTACTATACTACTCCTTTGCACAAAAGCTGTAATACTAGCCATATTCTCTGAAGCGTATAGGGCCCCACTCCTTCGGCTGGCACTCAAGACATTCCACTATGACACCCGCACTTTATCATTTCAGCCTCACCGCCTACCGCCCCCCCCCACACTGGAATCCTGTTCTCCTGCCAGCCTTCCCTCTGAATGTGCCCAACTTATTTATAAGTCTGAACAGCTGCTTCATTCCGTTGCTTCTATCATTAGTGTGGAATGGAATCAAGATGCTCTGGCATCCCTTTCTCTTTCACTCTTCCCAACTTACTTCCAATCCTCACGGGTGTGTGTGAGTTCACTGTTTTTACATCAATATGACAGAGAAGAGGTGATTGGGGTTCTCTCTGCAAACTTACCTGCGATGGGTGGGCTCACCAAATAAGGCACTGCATGGAGGAAGTACACCACGCCAAGTGCTGATGACAAAGAGGTGGTCCCCACGATTTCTGCAGTCACTACTGGGATCAGAGTCACATAGGCACCATCAAAGTAGCCAAAAGTACAAGCGAAAGGCACGAGCAAGGGGAGACTTTGAAGCATTGGGAGGCAGAGGTAGCAGAGCCCATCCATTCCGATGGCAAAGAGGTAGCAAATGTACTGGTAATTCTTCAGACACCTGTGGAAGTGAAGACCAAGAATGAGTGCAGTATGCACAGGTTCTATCAAAGAGCTCTAGAACCATGCCCAGGTAGCAGTAAACACTACCATTATTTATAGAGATGGCCTCCGCATTGTGTGTTTTCTACGTTGTCTTCCTGTCTTTCTTTTTGTATATGCAAATGCAAGAATGTATCTTCCCAGGAAGCATGGTATGGTAGAAAATAACCTGTGCTCTAAAATTAGAAAGATAGAAGTTTGAATCCAATTCTACCACTTACTAACTGCCTAACTCTAACCTCAATTCCTTTAGCTATAAAATGGGGAGGCTGTCTATCTCATAGTGTTATTCAAGGATAGTTGTGAAATAACACAGAGAGTGTCAGGAGACTAATATTTTCTAGATGCTTTCAGATGTGTCATCCGTTAGTCTCCAGCACATCATATATGCTCAATAACCCAAGTGGTTATACAAAGAGGAAGCCATAATATGAAGAAACAAAGGTGATTTGCCAGAGATTATGAAGGTCTTGTATTAGGACTAAGTCTTATTTCAAGACCTCCCCAGTGGTACTTCCATGAACACTTCCCTTTGTAGATCCAAACCCATCTATGATACCAATTATTTTAAAGACTCTGTATAATATCAGCACCAGCAATTTATGCTTTACAAATGTTTTTCTGCCCACAATCTCATTTAAGCCTCACAAATGTGAGGCTGGCCCATTTTACAGATGAAGACCCTTGAGGATCTGAGGGTTAGGTGATTTTCTCTAGGTCACAGGGATAATATGGGGCAGAGCCAGCACAAGAACTTAGGTCTTGTGTATCTCAGACTAGAGAGCCCTCTCTCAGACTTATACCAGGATGCTTCTCGTTGAGTTATTTGATTGTAAAGATGGTTACCCTTCACTCTCCCACCAACTCCTTAACCATTAAAAATGTGGATTTAATCCTAAATATTATATTCACGATACTGGATAATGGCAGTTGGATCCTGATTAGTTCTCAAAGACATAACGTGTGAGAAGCCATAGGATGATAGCTCTTCCAGGTCATAGCTCAAGTGTGAAGAGTCCATCATTTAGGAGAATATGAGTAGTTTGCTTTCTTCAATCCAAACAGATTAGCATTAGCTGAAGAAACTACTCAGTAGATTTCTTACAACTTTGGTTTCTAAGCCTAAAATCATAATGAAACTATTTGCTCTTTGCACTGTCAAATATAAATACGTGGCTACAGGGCTTCCCTGGTGGCGCAGTGGTTGGGAGTCTGCCTGCTGATGCAGGGGACGCGGGTTCGTGCCCCAGTCCGGGAAGATCCCACATGCCGCGGAGCATTTGGGCCCCTGAGCCATGGCCGCTGAGCCTGTGTGTCTGGAGACTGTGCTCCGCAACGGGAGAGGCCACAACAGTGAGAGGCCCATGTACCGCAAAAAAATAAAAAATAAAAAAAAATAAAAAAATCAATCAATCAATATGTGGCTACAGATAATGTGTTATTATTGACCTGATCCTCCTGCCTGGACTGGAGTCTGTTCCTCTCTCTATTGCCAGCCACTCTCTGGGGTGGTTCAAAAGAAACTAAAACCACAATGCCCAGACAGAAGTTGTCTCACCAGAGGACTGACTTGACTTAGAATGGAATTAAATCTGTCACCAGAACTTCGCTTCTGCCATTTATACATACCCAACATCCTAAACAATCTAGAATAGGTGTCAGCAAACTATGGCCAAATCCAGCCCACTACTTGTTTTTTGGTGAGAATGGTTTTTCCAATTTTGAATGATTGGAAAAAATCAAAACAACCATAAAATTTTGTGAGGGAAAAATTGTATGAGAAATTAAAATTTTAATTTAAAATTAAATAAAGTCTTATTGGAACATGGCCACTCTCTCTTGGTCACATATTGTCTATGGCTGCTTTTGTGTTACAACAGCAGAGTTGGATAGTTGGAATCATATGACCCACAAAGCCAATGTGACTTTGTCTGTTAAATGTCTGTCCCTTTACAGAAAAGTTTGCTGACCTCTGACTAGAAGAACCAACAAGGGAATTGCCTTCAGATATCAAAAACCTGTTAACATTATTCAGACCTAGGTATTCTAGAGGGTAAGGTGATGAGGGGAAACTCAAAGTTTAAAGTCCCTAGTGGGGGACCAATGGCGGTTTCATGGATTTTTACCTTCTGTCGGTTAGCCATCCGAACGTGATATTGCCAATAATGTCAATCACCCCAAGTATGGACATAAGAAAAGCAGCTTGCTGATGACTCACTCCAATACTCAAAGCATAAGGCACCAAGTACACAAAGAGAGGGCTGCAGCCATAAGCCATAAATAGAACAGAGACGGCCAATACAACAAAGTCTGACATCAGTAAAAAATTGTATGCCTGCTGCAAAGAGCCACAGAGGCAGGTCTGCACCCATTCTTTAGTCCAAGTCGAAGAGGGAGACGCCCGCTGAAAGCCTTGTGTCTCAGTTCTACAGACATGGTTCTGCTCTGAAGTTGTTTGGTCATCTTTAAGAGTAATTGGCCGCATCAAGGCGCCGCAAACACAGAGATTCAAAACGAAACCCCCAAGGATGAGTAATGCTCCCCTCCAGGAAAATTGTTCGATAAGGAGCTGAACCACAGGAGCCAGGATGAAGATGCCAATGCCACTTCCCGACATGGAGATCCCATAAGCAAGGGCTTTCCGTCTGCTGAAATACTTTCCAACCATGGCAATAGCTGGAGAGTAACAAAGTGCAAATCCAAGACCTGGGGATAAAGAGAACTCTATGAGTGCTGGTGGCACGGCATGAACAGCCACTGAAAGAACATTTCTCAGAATCATACTATTTGGAATAAAGAGAATCTGACCTTCAAATAAACCCTTCTAAAACTGCTTTCTACACCAAGCTGAAAATGAGTCTCCCCTCACCAGTCATCCACAATTTGCAAAGTATAGCATATATATGACTTTCTTCTTGGGAAGAAAAGCCTTAAGGGAATATGACTTAAGCAAAATAAAATGAAGAACTTAAAAACTATTATACAAGCTCAATTTGAATTAATTAGAAAATCAGGATAACACTGACCTAAGAAATTTATTCTCCCCACCACTTCTTTTTTAATAAATTAAAATTAATTTTAATAAATTAAATTATCTCTGGATAATTTAAGTATTTTTAAATTATCCAGAGAATTACTTCAACTCTTCACTGCCCCTGAAGACACAACTCTGATAATCTGGACCACACTGGAATTTGCGTTTAAATAGCATTTGTGACCCTGTGAAAGCTCCAGAGTAATCTCACATATTAGGAAACATTGTGCCAATTTGATACATGAACATAGCATGTACACATAGCCACCTGAAAATATCCCTTAAAGTCAGCAGAAAGCCTCTTCAAGATTTTCCACTTCTATTCCTTTTAAGTCAAGAAAATTTGAAGGGCTTTAAACCTGGAATTTAAATGTCAAGGAAGGAAAAGGAGAACTACCTTCAGCTCCTGTTCCAATCTGCAGAGCAGAGTGAGCAATGATCCCAATTTGCCTGGACTGAGGGGTTTCCCAAGATGTGAGGCTTTCAGCACCAAGACCAGGATAGTTCCTGGTAAACTGGGATGATAGGACACCCTAGCAGTCAGGCCCTTCGGATGACAGGGGACAGATACCTTTTTTAGCTGACAGACCTAGATTTATAACCTTACTATGAGATTATATCCTTTATTGGCCTGATCACGCTACCCCTGTGGCCCAGACAAGAGTTAGTGTTACCCTCCCCTCTGAGTGATGGGGCAGAAAACTGCTACTCTAGTCCCACCAACCAAGCCCACCTTGATCCTATGCAGTCCCTGTAAGTGTGACTTATGGAATGCACATCAGTTGCTTCTCTTTCTATGGGCTTCATTTTCTAAAGATACTTCCATAACATCGAAAGAAAATGTGCAATGTAAGAATATTCACAAGGGGCTTTCTTTTTAAAATGGTAAAACCCCATCTATTGGACAATGGTACTCACTATAAAGTAGGGGCAACTCAGGTCAACCACAGACAGTATTTCAATGTCTTGGCAAAGATGTTGGGAGAATGATCATTGCCGGAAATTTATGTTGCTCTGGCTAATGTCACATTGCTTCTGAGTGGAGAATCTCAGCCATGCATGGCTGCCCAAGGGAAGGCCAGCAGTCACTGTTGTCAAGTGGCTGAATTAAAGTGGTGATACATTTTCACTACAGTATGACAGCCCATTGCATTTCTAGCCCTTCTGGTTAACTGCTAGGTAGGCAGACATTAAGATAAATTTTGCATCTTACAAAATGAATATTTTATGAATTACTGATTTGTTGGTGGGCTTGACAACCCCTGGATAGGGTGGGGTGAGAAGGGTGGTACAAAGTGCCCTTACCTGTAAGAACTCCCAGAGTGAGGTAGAGATGCTTCAGACTGGTGGCAAATGAGCCCAGGATGAGACCAGTAGATGCAAGCAAGCCACCCAGCATGATTCCCACTTGACAGGAAAAATGGTTACTGACAACACTCCCAAGTGGAGCTTCAAAAACAATAATAAATAGGTTCAACACAAAGGCCTTGAGGGCACTGTGGAAAGGCTGTGGGTGCTGCATTGGCAGAGCAGAGAATGATCCATCTTCAAAGCCTCGAGCCCACCCCACTCATTCTACAGATTTGGAAACCAAGGAGAGAGGAAGTGACTTGTCCATGGTCCCACAGAGGATAAGTAGCAAAGCTGGAATTAGGATCACATCTCCTGACTGGCATTTGACGGCTCATTCCACATCTCCATTCTATGACAGCCATAATGCCAGGATTATGTGGTGTTTTTTAAACAGTGAATCAGCTCCTTTAAACTACATGTCACTTGCACAGCAATGTGCCTTGTATGTTTCATATAGTATTGATCATACACAATTAACAATAATTATGACAGGTAAATGGTAGAGAAGGAAAGTGGGCAACACGGCATGGCCAGCAGTGTTATGCAGGAAAAGGCCAGGCAGAGAGATCATAGACAAATTTCACAATCTGGCACTGTTTCCGGGCTTTTGGAAACCCTGTGGATGAGAAATCAAAGCCCAGAAAATCTAGGAAATGAGATGACATTTTGGTTGGCCTCACTCTATTTGTGGTTTAACAGTGTGTCAGAATTGTGCCAACTTCCAGGTTTATAGACTAATAGTTAAAGCTGGAAGAGGCCAAAAAGAAATTGAAGCTCAGGGGAATATGACATATCCAAGATCACCAAGAACTATACAGTTCAGGGAACCTGACACCAAGTGCAGGGTTATTTCACCCTGTTATTCTGGCTCCTTGGGTCTCTCAGACTGATGGCAGAGATGATGGGTGAGGAATGTATGTGAATTTCTTTCTGAAGAATAATTCATGCTGACACCAGTACTCCTAGTAACAAGATCAGAAGAGCCAATTCTCTAGGTATCTGTGGAGTATAATTTTTATATCGATCAGGTTAAAATTGGGTGTGACACAAATGTACATGATAGAATCAGTCATCAGCTTAATATCCCATCTAGTAAGAATAGTGGCTGGCTGCATATATAACCTCTGGAGAATAGGAATGAGCAAATCTCCTGAAAATATATCTAATTCTTCAGACTGATGCTGCTATGGCTATTGGAAAATGACAAAATGTATACTAAACTCAATGAAAAATGTTCACTTCTCTGTTCATCATAGAACAGATATGACCCCAATGGGTGTCCCAGATGTGATTCTGCAGAATTTAAATATTCTGCATCTAACATGACCCCGCTCTTAGCTCAATGCCTCACATGGTCATTGTGACCACTGTGGTCACTGAAGGTCATTTATTCCTCTTTGAGGGATTATAAATATTCTCCAAAAGATAACAGAGAAATGAATCACCTGTATCCTCCATGAAAGATAAATATGGCTGTCTTGGCATGCTCACACAAAGGCTGTGCCTAATCATCTGACCCTGAAAACCAAGTGATCATCTTACTGGTTAAAATAAAAAAGACAGTCCAGAAATAAAACCTGAAAATATGATTTTTTTGATCCCTTATGACCTTCCTGCGTTATCAGTAGCGTCAACTTAGCCGTCTCATGAAACCTAGAATTGCACTCAAATTCCTCCCAACCAAGGACATACATTTCAGCACAAATCAACCAATTCCTGATTATGTACATTTTTCTAAAAATAAATATGAATCAGTACCTAGAATGGAATAGATGACATTATTTATGATACCAAATAATATAGTATTTCTCTTTTGCCATTAAGACATGGCCTGCAGAGATAACAGTTTTCTAAAATACTCAGGAGTCATCTAAATGAAAGGATTAAATGGGTCTAGTCTGCAAATAGATCATTTTGATTTGACCCAATTGCAGAAAATTTCTATGGCACTCATTTAATGACTTTGGTTGGAAATTTTTAAAAAGAAAAATCTCAAGGTTAGTTTTTCCTTAGATCGATGAGAGATTCCATGAATCTTGAGAACACTCTGTACACCGTACGTAGCACCTGTGTGGCTCCTGATGAAAACTACAGCCGTAGTGAATGTGCTTATCTCATGATTGCACCATTCTATCCTTCTACAATTCTTCTCTAAGAATGAAGATTGATGCATGAAAAATGAGCCAAATTTTGAACCCTCTGGGAAGGGACAAGAATGAAAACAAGACTTGCGACGTGTTGCACATATTGTTGGCACTCATTTAAGGAGATCACATTGAAATGGCTCGTGGTGCTTTCCAATGGCTGTTTATGTGACTGGAGAATGAGGGGACCACAGCATTCAGAAGAAAGCAAGCATATACTGTACGGTTAACTGCGTCCAAAATCAGGACAGGTACTGTGATTGCCCAGTTCCCTATCTCTATAGGTATGTGTCCAATTGACTGTATTCACTACCTGGTCCATCTGACATCAGCCAAGAATGTTAACTGCAAAAGCACATCTGGGTGGGTTTGGCTAAATGCAGGATCATACTTTTCTTTTTATATGGTTTTAGCCAATTTTTAATCATAGCCCTTCTACTCAGAAAAACTGGTCATCAAAGGCAGTGGAAGGTCACTGTCATGTATAGTTCAAGGGTAGCCAGTAATTATCTAGCCCTGGAGATACTCACCACAGAGCATGGTCACACAGTCTACAATGGAATGGATCCAGGCTGTCTGTGCATAATCCTGAGAGAAGTATGTCTGGAAGTCCACAAAAAAAATTGAAATACATCTGAAAAAAAAAAGTGTAAACATTTTATACCAAAAAAAAAAAAAAAAAAATGAACATGTATTCGATTGAGAGTTTCAAGTTTTGGTTCAATCATCTGTTCCAGTCTCCAGGGGTTTTAATTGATTTTCAATGGTACGTTGCTGGCTTGTAATAAGTGGGAAATCAGAAGCTAACCATTGGGATGTTCTAAGGGATAAGAACAAGTGTTTAGGACTTCCCTGGTGGCACAATGGTTAAGAATCCACCTGCCAATGCACGGGACACGGGTTCAATCCCTGGTCCAGGAAGATCCCACACGCCAAGGAGCAACTAAGCGCGTGAGCCACAACTACTGAGCCTGTGCTCTAGAGCCCTTGAGCCACAACTACTGAGCCCGTGTGCCACAACTACTGAATCCCACGCGCCTAGAGCCCGTGCTCTGCAACAAGAGAAGCCACCGCAGTGAGAAGCCCACACACTGCAACCAAGAGTAGCCCCTGCTCGCCGCAACTAGAGAAAGCCTGTGCACAGCAACGAAGACCCAACGCAGCCAAAAATTAATTAATTAATTAATTAAAGAAAAAAAGAAACAAGTGTTCACCCACTAGAGAGGCTGCTGAAACCAAGTGGTTGTGAAGATCACTGCTGTAGGGAAGGTCTTATGGAAAAGATGACAGGTCAGACACATGGATTGTTACTCATCATACTGTTTCACTAACATCTGAAACTTCTAAGAGGTTGTTATACAAGTTAAGATTTGACAATAAAGTATTATACATCACCCAGCAATTTCACTTCTAGGTTTTAAGCAAAGTTAATAAACAGATGGTGATGATAATAATAATAGATACACATAAAAGGATATACTCTGGAGAACTATTTATAATAGCCAAATATTGTAAACAGCATATATGTCCGTCAGTAAGGGACTGGTTAAGTAACTTATAGCACATCAATAAAATGAAATATTATTAGGTATTAAAAATGATTTGCTTTGTATTTATTGATTTGGAAATAAATTCACAATATAATGTTAAGTAAAAACGTAAGTTACAAAATAGCTCATATAGTAAGGGCTTATTTTTATAAAAATGTACTCTTCATGTAACTAGAAAAAGCCTGAAAGCATATAAACCAAAATGTATCTGGTCATTATATGTGCATGGTGAAGTTATAAATGATTTTTTTGTCTTTATTCTGTATTTTGAATTATTTTACAGTGAACCTGATTTCTTATACAATCAGAAATTTATCTGTGTGTGTGTATATACATATGTATGGGGGTGTATATACAGAGACAGAGACAGAAACAGAGACAGAGACAGAGACAGAGACAGAGAAATTTTTATGCTGAAAAATAGCTAATTACTTAGGAAAAACAAGACATGAGTGATCCAGAAGCAATAGTTTGGAATGAACCGCACACAGATAATTCAGGACAGGAAGCTTTTAGAGCTCCGTGATAGCAGGGAAAGAAATCAGGCCTTGCCGCTTGGAGATGAGATAGGAGGATATCTGTCTCCTTGGATAGGATCACATTCCAACTCATTATGCTTCAGCAGCCCCTAATAACCTGTTATTTTACTCTCTCTTTCCTCTCCAGTTGCTGCTGGATGTAAAAGTGAGTGATGGAAAAGTTAAAGAAGGGGGAAGAGAATCAGGACTGCTGTGTTATGATGGTCCAGCTTCATGGGCATACAACCTATACAGTCGGACAGAATCTGGCACTCAGAAGCATTAAACTTGGTTTAACTCAGCTGTCACTGTCTTAAAATTCCTAATAATTTTATCTTTGAATTTGCATTTTTTAAGTGAAGTCCAATGGGACAATGAAGCATGCATGTGAGCAGAGAGCTACGGATTCTTCAGTCTGCAATTCTGTGCTTTTCCATTTGCACATAGTCTTAGAGATGCCCCAGGAAACAGAATTCCAGTAGACTCTTGTGTGGGAGTCCATTAGGACTCAGACTGAGTACCAGGTAAGTGTGTTACACCTGCAACTGAGTGAGCATGTGCACAGGGGAGTGAGAGAGAGAGACCATGCTTTCCTTTCAAACCAAAACTTGCTTCAAATGCAGAAGAAGGCAATGGTGTTTTAAGAAAGACAAAGGGCCGAGGATTCCTATCAGATCCTTTCTTACTCATGTTGCTTCTCTGGATTAGCTGATCGCTTATGCTGAAAATGATGACACAGAAGGAAAGTAAAAGGTAGGGCTACCGGTAATATATAGATGAACGGCAGATTTGTGCTACTAATTTAACATTTCCATTTTCTTTACTCAGAACAACACTAAATAGTAAATTTAAAACACTGTGAAAAACCGAGACCGCTGAAAAAAGGAAAAACTTCCCATTTTAGTACGTTTACCAGCCCTTTTTTTCCTGCCTTTTGAACAAGGGGTCCTGCATTTTCATCTTGCACCAGGCCCTGTAATTATGTTGCCAGTCCTGGTGATAGGAAAGAGAAAAGGGACGGTATAGGGCAGCGATCCCCAACCTTCTCGGCCAGGGACCAGGGACCGGTTTCGTGAAGACAATTTTTCCACGAAAGGGGGCGGGGTGGGGTGAGGTGGGGGATGGCTCAGGAGGCAATGCGGGCGATGGGGAGCTGCAGATGAAGCTTCACTCTCTCTCACCCTGCTCACCTCGTGCTGTGCGGCCCTGTTCCTAACAGGCCGCGGGCTCGTATCTGTCCGCAGCCCGGGGGTTGGAGACCCCTGGTATAGGGTGCTAAATTCTAAGTCCCAGAAAGTACTGGGATGGAGTTTGATGTACAGAGTACAGAGAGGGATCAACACTTGTGGGCAGGATTAGGCAGAGTGAGCTGGGCAAACAGATGTAGGCCTGACAGGCCTCAGCCAATCCTCAGGGAAATGGGCAGGCCTTTACGCACCTCCCTTCGTCAATCACCGGATATGGGCACCGCTGGAGGGGCGAGCTCTCGGGAGAGGCAGCTCTGCGCAGGTGAGGGGGACCCTGCGGACACTGACAGCTGCAAGCTGCCTGCCGATGTTCACCCTGCAGCTGAGGCCCTCCGGATGGCACACCTCCGTATTCACCAGAGTCCCGTTCTTGTCCTCCACACTGAGCACTGTATGGGATGATATCTATCAAAGGGATATCAAAAGTTGTCCTTCCCCTTCCACTGATTTAAGAAACCAGACAACGTGCAATAGTAGATCCGATGCTAGGTTAATAATTATATCAGAGTTTGGAGTACTGAAACATAGTCAACAACGAAAATGCAGAGAATGATAACATAAACTACCCGGCTGAGTATATAAATTTAAATTTAATTAAAATATTGCAGAACTTTTTCTAAAGCATGAGCTAACGGCAACAGCCTTATACTAGTTTTAATTCGGTACAATAATAACAGGAAACTCTACGATGTTTCTTAACATCCTAAAGATTGCTAGACTAGTACAAAAAGTCTATTATTTTCTCCTAACCACTAGGCCTTCGATTTAAGTGAATAATGATTTCTTGGATATAGCCTCAGTATCAAAATAGTTAAGTTATCCTTAGCCCAGGGTTTCTCAATCGAAGCACTATTGACATTTCGGACCTGATAATTCTTTGTCCTGGGGGCTGTCCTGTGCGTTGCAGGATGTTTAGCAGCATCACGGGCCTCTGCTCAGAATGTCTCCAGACACTGCCAAAGGTCCCCCCGGAGAGCAAAATCAGCCTGTTTAGGACCACTGATCTAATCAACTAACAAATTCTGCCTATTCTACCTTATACGTATCTTTCAAATGCTGCCACGGAGCTCCATTGCCTTTATCATTTATCATTCATGACAACACTTCTCTCCTGGACTGTAGCCAAAACCCTCCTAACTGATTTTCCTGAATTCACACTTGGCTACCTTCAGTATAGTCTACACTCCATGGTCCAAGTGTCCTCCTCACTAGAACACAAATCAGATCCTGATGCTTCAAACTTTGCTTTTTTTTCAGTATGCCGGCCTCTCACTGTTGTGACCTCTCCCGTTGCGGAGCACAGGCTCCGGACGCACAGGCTCAGCGGCCATGGCTCAGGGGCCCAGCCGCTCCGCGGCATGTGGGATCTTTCCGGACCGGCGCACGAAGCCGTGTCCCCTGCATCGGCAGGCAGACTCTCAAGCACTGCGCCACCAGGGAAGTCCGCTTCAAACTTTTTAACATGACTTATGAGACCCTGCATAAGTTGGTCCTTCTTAGCATCTCTCCTTTCTTCCCATCTTGTGCATTCCTCACTTCAGAGAGACTGAGCTTCTTTCTACAAATTTTGACATACCACACATGCTTTTTCACACCTCTGAGCACTTTTTTTTTCTAGGATGATCTCCCAGCCTCCCTCATTCTTTTAGTCTCAAGATAATAGTCAACTCCTCCAGGAAGGCTTCCTTGACTACCTGAGTCTAGGCTTGATACCTTTCTTAAGTATTTCCACTACATGCTGGACCCTTACCACACTGTGTGGCGATGTTCTTTGCATTTGTTTGTATTTTCCACTAGACTCTTGCTCTGTGACAGCAAAGACCATGTCTGTCTTATCTTGCATTGAATCCCAAATATCTAGTACCATAGCTTCCACGTATGCGGTGCTCATTAAACATTGTTCAAGGTTCAAGGTACGAAAGGAAGGAAATTAGGAGGGAAGGCAGGCTGAGAGTTGCTAGAGAAGTGACTGGAAGATAAAGAAGTGAAATGGTTGAGTAGCAACTTCAAGAATGTGAATGAGAAAGGAAGAGGAAGAACAGATGGCAGCTACGTAGGAGCACGTGGCTAGATACGGTACAGTAGAGGTGTGAAGAATCTGAACTTGTAAGCTGAGAGAAAGAATTAGTAAAAGAGAGATGCGGAAGTTGGAAATGTGGAAGAACATAGGACAACTAAGAGGAAAGCACCCCAAATGATAATAAGATATTTTGGTGTTGTAAATCATAATCTCTTCTCTCCACTAAATTGTTTTGGGGGGTTTAATATTTGTGGGACTATGTTTATTTCTTGTGACTTTTTTACCTTGTTCTGTTGTTT